TTATACAAATTTCCTAACGCGTTTTATTCATTGTTATAAAATTTTTTTCAAATACATTTGACTTATTTTAATCTAACACGTTTTATTTATTCTTATCATGATATATAATAGAAAGTAACCATGGAAAAATATTTCTATTTTCACTAAAGAAAAACATTTTCTTTTTTTATTCTTTAATACTTTGCTTTTTTATCTTAATTTACAAAATGTTTTTATCAAATGAAGTTCTAAATTTTTAATTACTTTTCTATTGTTTCCTTTAGTTCAACACAAATAGTATATTATTTTCCAATTAATTATTTAATCATGTTTGGACATAATATTTTAATACAATCGATCATTATTACAAAATAATAACAAATTATGTAACGATACAAAACATATTCCTGTTTTATTTCTTACGCGACGAATATAATATCTTTATTATTTATTTCCGGTTTTGTTAATTCGTGAAAAAACAAAGAAAATGTTCCGTAAAAATGATCACCTGTCTTCGAGAAAGGACAACATAAAGAAAGAAAGAGAGAGAGAGAGAGAGAGAAAGATAGAGAGCAAGATCACAGGCTTTGAATTTTATTAAGAATTCCTGAAGCGAAGGCCGTGCCACACAGTGAAAGGGTTGCAAACACGTTTGTGGCTTGTCGATGGCCCATTCTGGAGCAATAATGATCGATCGAACGATCGAGAGCTCGATTTACGATCGTCTGCCGCTTCGTCTCTGTGACGATGCAATGACGAAAGCATTGAAGTGTCGTTATCTCCTATCGTGAAACCGTTTTCAGGAAACGTGATGTGGAAGAAGGGAATAGCATTATTGGAACTAAGTTTCTAAGCATGTCCCGTTAGATATCTACGACATGATCAATTCAATTCTACTAATTTTCATCGATAGACTCAAGTTGTAAAAGAAAGAATAAATGAATGTAAGTAATTGTTATTTAATATTTTACAGAAATACTAAAATCAACAAATATATATCATTAAATTCTTTATTAATAATTTTAATTATTAAAGTGGACTGAATTCGAAAATTATCAAAATTTGATTTTAATCATTTAATTTACAACACGAATAATTGTAATATGAAATAAGTCATAATTATTATTTAAAGATAAAAAAAAACATAAAGAAAAGTATTATAATGTAATATAAATAACATGTTAAAATATCACACACGTAACAAATGTTTCTAAGAATGTTAGGCTACGAATTCGCATTAGGAAAAAAAAAGTGAACAAATATTCGATGTATTCGACTGTAAGAAAAAAAAGAAAAAAAAGTAATTTTACAGATGGAACAGTCGTTGTAAACGCGTGGAAAAAGTATTTTCGCTCCGAAAATGTCAAACAATAAAAATAGACAGGTAGTAGAGAAGGGAATAGTAGATGGACCTCCCACGAGAGATGGGAAAAAGAGAGAGGTAGAGAGATAGAGAGAAAGAAAGACAGTTAAGCGTCGGCAGGAAGCATCGGAATGCTGAAACGCACCAAGATCGTATACAACGAAGCTGAGAATGCAAAAGAGGAAGTGAAACGACGTGCCTCCGAGCCGTGAGCACGGTTTTTGACGCTTCAACAAAAGTACCCGGAATCGCATTGCTTTCTGGGTTAAGTACACGAGACGACTAGGAAAAAGAAGTAGAAGTATAGGGGAAAGAAAGCGTGATAGTTAGACGAAAAAACGCGAATAAATGCACAAAAGGTATGTATACCTATGGTAGGTTATCTTAATAATCAAATAATTAGATAGCTTAATTTAATATAATAAAATTTTATAACTACGTAAATATGTAAATGTGAATGTGTTGATTATAAAATTCGTTGAAATAATTTTTCTTTTATTTTCATTTTGTCTGATTTTTAATCGAATAAAAGATTAATATTCATTAATTATCAGATAAATATTTTTTAAACGAATCCACACGAATATTAAAAATCGTACAGAAGAGTTATTTTTTTTTCTTCTTATTTTTACGGCTAGAATTATTATAATAATAACGAGAGAAGAAAACGGTACCGTAGAAAATGATTTTACTATATTCATATAACTTCAATGAGTGGAGAAAAAATCCATTCGGTATTATGGTTATTCGTCCAGAATAAGAATAATTTAAAAATTAAGGTATTTATATCTCGATTCATACTAACTTTAAAACTTCATAAATAATTCCAAATAAAAATGGACGAATTGATCAATACTAGATTGCTATCGGAGTTCACGAATTATAATGGAAATGAATTTACGTAAAATGAAAAAGATGATTATATTCCGAACATAAATTCATGCTAAATATAGTGAGTGTTATTGAAAAATGTATACCGTTAAACTTATACTTCATACAATTGATTCATATTTCAAAACTATTAATACAATGTTTCTAAGATAACTAAAAATTTAGAAATAAATATATGAATTGATGAAATTTTTCAACTCAAAATCAGCAATAGCCAGAAACAGAAAAACAAATATAATATATTAGTTTAACCGATCCAAAATATTAATAGAATATAGTACTGTGTTAGATTTACTTTAATTAATTGATAATTAATAGAAAACAAGATATATTCTTGTCTAGAAGCATGAAGTATATTCAACGCAATATCCTCTTCGAAATCCACTATTAAACTAAATTATTTTCCTCTATAAAAGTTCTTTTATCAAATGTTTTTTATATGGATTTCAGAAAGTCGCGCATGTGTATAACGGAAAGAGTATTTCTAATAAATAAAATTTAAGATTATAACATTCTGATTTTAGCATTTTTTTCACTTTTTATCTAATAATTTTAACGTTCTTGCACGGTGATGACTTCAAAGATAAAATTTTCGTTTATGAGAAAATCAAATCAAAATTATTTAATATTTAAAGTATGTTAATAGGTATTTAATAATTATACAACTGTATATACTTTTAAAAAGTCTTATATATAAGAAGAGTGCATTAATGTATTAAAAAAAATTGTTAATTAATCGAAGAAAATGTATAGTGTTACCTAAAAGTACGTGGGAAAAGTTCGGTTCACTGTCCTCTTCAAAAACTACAGTAAGACTGGCACTTTATCCTCTATGAAAGTTCTTTTATTAAATGTTGTTTATATGACTTTTCAAAGGCTATATGTATATATTAACAAAAATAATATTCGTAAAAAAAGAATTCCCTTTTTCGGAAAGTCACGAAAACAACATTTAATAAAAGTATTTTCATAGAGGACAATGACTCAGTTTAACGGTGGATTTCGAAAAGGATAGTGTATGTTGAACTTATACTTCATGCTTCTAGACTAGAATATACATTTTTTTCAATCAATTATCAATCAGTTAAGGAATATCGCATACTCTATTAAAATTTAAGATTGTTTAAATTAACATATATTTATTAATTCTCTCTTCATAGAGAAAGAAAAATAAATAAAAAGAAAGAAAAAGAAACACAAAAATAGACAAAGTGTTTTACAGATACGCACGTGTGTGTGTGTATGTGCTGACATTTAAGTTATCTTTAAATATCAAGTATATTTATCTTGTGCAAATAGTGTAATTAAAAAATGCGTAGTTTTTATCTTTTGTTCTTTTTACAGAATGGAAAGAAGTCAACATGCTCGATAGAGTAATCGTGTATTATTGGATATACTTCGAACGAAGAAGAGGCGTTATCGAACGCTCACAGATGAGAAAAATAAAAAGAGACCCTTAGAGCTTGTTGCGTCCCTTCAATAAGCACGTACGTATACTTGAACATCAATAAGTGCCCCCGGCTTATGGTGTACTCAACGAACATTTGACATTCGCAAATGGAAAAAAAAAGATCTACTGAACCTTATCCGCGTTGAAGAGATTCTGTATTTCTTTGTTGCAATTGATTACAAAAATAATCGTTCCTTTCTTTTCTTGTTTCCTTCATTAGTATTCTTCTTACGCTTACCAAATTTATGATAAAAAAAATTCTTCATAGTAGATTTGTCAGTAACGTTTAAAGAATACACGTCTCGTTCAAATATGACTACTGTTAGCACATCTCCAAAAGCGATCTTGTCCGTATCGGTACGCCCTGTATAGCAAAATTTAAAATCAGTAACGCAGATACACTTTGCGAGTGTCTCTTAAGATCTTTCACGGTTCTCGTTAGCGAGTCCTAATTTTGAAAGAGTTTTCCACTCGATCTTCATCGAGTTAATTGAAAGAAGATAAAATGTATTTATGTACATGTAGCTCTCCGAGAACAAGTGGAACCACTTCATACAATGGATATACAATCTAAACGCATAATGCAAGAGTATGTGTTCAATGTTAAAAAAAAAAAAAAAAAAAAAAACAAAGAAAAATAGAGATAAAAGGAATCATGATTTTCAAGTAGATTCAACAAAACGTGCGCAAGGATTTACATAACTATGTGGATGTAAATTTATCCCACCTGTGTTGCCTAGTATATTGCAATGATTGGCCAAAGGCACGCATGTTCTAACTGGTATATTGGTCACAGTATGTATACGTTAGCGTCGCATATCATTCTACGTAGGTGTGAGTGTTCATTTGCGTGTACGTGTACATGTTACGAGCAAGATAGAGCCCAAGTTGAGCGAGTTATGTACTCGTAGTTTCAACGAGACTACGCGTACGTAGGTATATATGTAGTAGGTATAAGTGTGTGTACTTAACACGACACTCCTTACAAAGGCAGTCGGCTAAAATTAGACTAGAACGGAAAGGGTTTTATTGAAATTACTCGGCACGTCGATAGTTAAACGCAAAACTGCTTGACGGATTTTAAACGATTTCCTAGCGATGTTTTTTGATGAAACACCCATACGGTAAAAGAAAAGCTTTTCTAGGAATATATTTTGAATTATACGTTACTAACCTATTCTCTCTCAAAAAAATCTTCTTTAGGGTATAAAAAAAGATTTAATTATGAAATGTATATATGTATTGATTAAAAATAAAAGAAGGAAAAATAAGATTAAATACTATTTTTACATAAGATTTAACAATATTTTAACTCACCGTCGTCTTCTCTAAACATCGAAGTAAATGATGATGCTGTAACTCGAAAATATCCTCCTCCTTGTAGTTTTCGTCTAACGTCAAACCACTCTCCTGCGCAGCTAATCGAGCTTCGGCTGCTTTCTTTTTGCTGACAAAGGCCGCACCACTCGACGCTTTAGCAATCCTAATGCGAGCCAATCTCGCTTTCTGTGAAAAAGAAAATAATTGTCACTCGATTAACAAGTAGTTTTTATTTTTGTTCAAATAAATGACGAAAGAGAAAAATCCAAAGATCGAAATTTATGAACTATTCAAAAACGAGCCAAGCACCTTATAATAAATACATAAGAATATATATATATGTACGTGTGAGTATAATTTTTCGAGCGTGTAACGCGATTGGTGAGTTTGACACTATTAATTCACAAAGCGTCTTTATACTATCTTCTCTATTAAATGTTTTATGTCGTTCCGATATATCGGAACATCAACGAAAGATATTTGAGATTTATTGATTATCATTTAACCTACGTTAGAACGACTATACATTTTAAGCTCTAAAACTGCCATTCGACTTTGTTAATAATTTCCTAAAATTTCTATTAACGCTTCAATATATGTATCTTATTTACATATGCATGAGTAATTTACGATTCAAACTTAATAACTCTATTTTTAGAATTTTGTTGAATTCTATTATTATTTATAATACCGACATTTCATCAATTCTTTACATATTATATTTAAAATAAATTTCCTCAATAATTAGGTTTTTTACAATTTTTATAATGTCCATTCAATTATAAATGATACGACAATGTATATTACTTCATGAATTGTCTTTACATTTTGTTGGGACTTATATATAAGCTTACGTTACATGAAAAAATAAATTTCGAATATTTTTATATATTTAAATAATTTATCAAAGCTACTTATTTAATTAAAACCGAAATTAATATAATGGTTGTTATCTTTAATATCTAATATAAAGTATATTAGAAAAATAATTTAAAACACACTGCATAGAATATTCTATACGAGTTTTCATTTAAAACATGGTACATAATATTTTCAATGTATAAAACAGAAGATAATTACCTATCGTTATAAAAAAACATAAATTATAATTTCATTCGTCCTCGCTCGAAATCCAATTTCTTTTATACGAATCTATTCAATTGGCTTTATTTGTGAATTCTGCAAATAGCAGAATTCTATTGCATATACCAAGCTCATTCGCTCCCTCTCGTTCATTATCCGTAGGAAACAGAATTTTTTTTCAAAAAAATACATCTTTCTTTCTCTCTCTCTCTCTCTCTCTCTCTCTCGTTCTTTCTACAAAGACGCAAACGGAACTTTTCTTCTCCCTCTTTTCCGTTTGATTGAAAGCCTTTCGTTTCCTTTCCCTTCCACTCTTTAAAAAAAGGAATGATCCAGAAAAAATCTTTCTTCCCTTTAAGAAAGTTTGGTTCTTATATTCCATTTCGTATAAATACGAAACGAATGAAAAATTATAACACATATTACCTCCTTATAATATAATACAAATTATGAAAGTAATTTCGCAAGAAAAAAAAAAGGACAAGAAAAAATAATTGATATGAATTATATGCCTAAGATTTTTTAAACTACACATTCATTTCGTAAAATATGACAACGATCACGTCAACGTGACACATTTCTAAAGATATCTTGTGATATTTTAAGAGATATTTTGCTCAAGAAAATTTCATAATTTATTTGAAAACTATACAGGTAGTTTACTCTTTTACTGAGAATTCGTTCCAATTTTATTTTTTATAAATTAAAAACGCACCTTACTCGTAAATACGAACTAATAAACATGATTTCTTTCTAAGAATACATTTGTTTTTTTAGCTAAAATCATAATATTTTTGAAAACACTCTTTTCAATATTTTATTTATATAGCAAAAATGATTTAAATTGAATATTAATAAACGAATAATCTACATCCATGCATACATACTCGCATTTAAAATCGTAATCGTGAAGGTACATACTCAAAAAAAATATAAGAGATAGATCGGATAGTTTTATAATGACTTCTATGAGATTATAGAAGCAGTTAGGCTATTAGTCGTACTCGAATAGAAAGGAAAGAAGATATCTCATGAAAAGGACACGAAAGCTCGCGGGACAATGGCTCGTTAGATTTCGCGTGCAGGTCCATTTCGTATCGTGTCGCATGTTAAAATAAGAAAAGAGAGTGGGTAAAGTGTGGAGGGTGTAAGGGAGTTAGGGAGAAGTGGAACTGGCGTTAGCGAACACATAAAGTGGACTGCACAAAATGCATCAACCGCAGGCCCCCAATTCAAGAATTGCACTAGCTAGGCAAAAGGAGTCGTTACACCAACAATGACTTATTGTTCCCTGTCTCCTTGTTGAAGAATTTGCTGTTTTCCTTTTTATACGCGCTATTCTCCTTTACCTTCCATCTAGCCCTCTTTTTGTTTTTGCATATCCACGAACACTTTCACTTCTATATCTTCTACCATCTCCAGAACACTCATCCTCGCTTGATCAATTAAGCTTTTAACGAAGATTTTCGGTTGAGAAAATGACCGTGCTGTACCATTTTAAAGCTTGTGCGCTTTGCAAATACGTGACGTTCGTGTAATGCCATTTTAAATGCAGCCAAATCACGCGTCGCGCGCACCTACCCTACTTTCAACCAACCCAATAGCCAATTCCATTTCCGTGATGATTATGTATAAGAAGGACGAGAGATTTCACAACCGACTGGTTCACTCTTCTTCTTCCTATCGTTACGTGTATATAAGATCGTTCCAAAAGTCACTTATTTTTCCTTACGTTAATTTTACATGGACAATATTTTGATGTATGGACAATATATGAAATAATTAGATAAAAATTTATCAAGTTTTATTCATTCGAGAATAGTTTTAATTGTAAAATAAAATTAGAGGAATGAATACGAGACATCGAAAAATAATATGGATTATAAAGAATTATATTATTAAGAAAATTATTAAATAGATCATGACAATATCACAATATCGATATATTTACATATACAAATAGTAATTAGTTGGTACTGATGTGGAAGTCAAACATATATTAATTAGGACTCTGTTTAGAATTCTAATGTCGCTATATGCGTCATGCAAATAAACCAAACAATTGTTTAACCTGACAGATTAGAACAAGTAATTAATAGCATTCATAATGATTTTTCTCAGGATTTAATATATATACATTATTTTCTAGTAATTATTAAAACATATATAATAATAATAATAATAATAATAATAATAATAATAATAATAATAATAATAATAATAAATAAACATGGAAAATTATTGGAATTATCAAAACTTTTCAATTCTAAAGAAGGTAACGATATAACATAATATGTTTATTTATATTTGTGGTCAGATCAAAAATATAATTTAAATAATTGCTAAACGTTACAGGAAGTATTATTATATTATTTAACATTTAATTACAAAATTTCAATATAAAGATACATTTTTTATAATAACAATCTACTGTGTGTGTGTGATTGCTGTGAGAAAATAATTGAAGTTTTACATCACGACTTTCCAACAGAGAATAATTAATTAAAATGATTATATTTTCATCATTATCTTCTCGAAAACGAACAAATAAGTAAAATAAAAATGTTAATGGTGAAAATACATTTCGGTCAAGGTCTATCAATCCCATAACGAGACCAACGAGCAAAGTCTTGTTTATTGGAAAGAAAAATAACAAAGTAAGTGTAAGAGGACAAAAATAGTTTATCGATAATAATAACATAAAATTCTATAGCGTAAATATAGGAAGAAAGAAGAAAAAAGGGGAGAAAGAAAAGAATCAATGATGGTTTAATTGAACGATTAGAATTTTTTAATCTACATTAGAAACATTTAGCAATATGTATGGATACTATTAAAACCAGATCAGGTGGAAGTCGGTAAGTCGGTCAATTTGTTAGCCCGTACAAATTGCAATATAAATTTAGGGACGGTGACTATGGGCACGATATAAAGCTACACTTCTGCCAACATGCGCCATCTGCTTAAAGGTAAAACGTCGTATTTATAGTGCGTCAGCTGTACGCAATAGCATATGTTTTCGCGGTGAAACTCTTAGCAAACGTCGTTGTCGTCGTCATCAATACTCGTAGACTGAGCAGCACGCAGGTGTCCGTGTCAAATTTCGTAAAGAGCTACACGAAACCCCCGTAACTTATTATAACATTCGTCGAAAATTGTTTTTAATCAAAGAGATTCGATACGAATGTAATAAAGAATATAATGTTGATGTTGAAGGAAGCAATGATTACTTAAGAGTGTTAGATCGTATCGATCAACTCGTTATGGAAAATAAAAAAATAAAAATAATAAATGAGAAGATAACAAAGTAGAACGTTAACACATCAAAAACCATATATCTACAGTTCTACGAAAAACAGCCAAAGTAATAAAATTTCTCAGCTAGGCCCATATTTCACGAGATAACGGCACGTTGCAATCATTACCGAGTCTCTGGGAGTAAACTTACGCTTGGCCGAGCTGCATAAAGTTGCCCAACTGCAACGAAAACACAAAGCGTCGTTCAATGAACGCGCGAGGAATCGCGTTTATGCGACAACGTCAAATGTCACCGTTTCAACGGCACGGATAAGCGCTCTCGCGACCAACCGTGACTGGCAATAAAAACTCGAAAGCTCTTCTCTATCTCTCTTCCATCCTCGTAGAAGTGATTCTCTCTCAACTAATGCGACGATAAGATCGACAATAAGTTTTTTGACAATTTTCGCGAATTTCAAGAAATTAGAGAACTCTGACAACTAAGCTTGATAACGTTAACTGTAAAAGTTAACAAATGATACATAATTGGTCCTTCATTCATACTTCACACCGTATAAAACTTGTGTTCGTCTCATGTTTAACTCTTTGTCGTTTGAATTATTCTAGCCATTTGTCCACAATGAATTGGTCACTTTTAATCAATATCCTAGTAGCTTCGCCGCTATTTCATATTTTACGTTTATATTTTATAGAAAAATTTAATATTCCATAATAACATTTAATTAATATATAATCGTGTATTTATATAGATTTATTTTTATTAGGTATTCTTACAATTCGGGTAAAATAACTCGACGTATGACTGCCAAGGATTATAAATTTCTTTTTTTTTTTTTTAATAAATA